CCAATGTCCAAGTTGCCCATCCCTGTCTACTCTGTGTGTGGAGGGGGTGGGAATGATTCTTGCTGTAAGGACTTGTACCCTCTTTTGAGCTACTGCTTCCATAGGTGTAGGTCAAGTTCATCAAATTGTATGAGAATACTTTTTTTTTTTCCCTCTTCTTTTTACTTCTGGTTCAGCTCTGATCATCCAGTCACTGAAGCCAGGACAAGTGGGTATTATCTGCAAGTGTGGGTATTCTTATGCATATACCCTCTCTTCTTATCAGCTGGACACTTCACTCTCCACTCTAGTCCTCTGTGGCTATGTCACTGACTTTGGGCCCAAGGGTCCCCAGGTCTTGGAATGGCTGGTAGTTTTGAACTGCTGACCTTGAGGTTAGCAGCCTGACTCGTAACCACTATGCTATCAAAATGAATTTTGAATACTTTATTTATATATTCTTATATACTTGGATAAGGGGTGTGAAGTTACAATTAAAAAACAAAAACTACTTCTGCCTCATAGTAACTCTACAGAGTAGAACTGCTCCATCGATTTCCAAGATTGGAAATCTTATGGAATCAGACTGCCTCATCTTTCTCCAACGGAGCACCAGGTATGTTCAAAATGCAGACGTTTGTGTTAACAGCTTAACACTAACCCACTGTACCATCTACAACAACATGGGCCTAAATCATTGATGTTTTTCCAGGGCTGAGTATTAGACTCACATTGGAATAATGTCACAATGAGTTGGCAGTGGTGGTTTGGGTGGAAGTTTGAAAAATACCAGTGCCTGGGCTCCATTCCATACCAGTTAAACCAGACTCTGATGGGAGGAACTCAAACATCTTTCTGTCCTGTTTTTAAGCCCCCCTGTGATTCTGTTGTGTGGCAAGTTTATTGAGAATCACTAGTATACTTATTTCTAGCTCAGGGTTGACATGCTGACCAGGCTGGGAATGGAGGAGGTGGAGGAAATTTTTCTTTTAACTTCAATAACTAGTCCAATGACCAAGGTCCTGGAGAAAGATCCTCTCAAAATCCAGAATAAAAATTTAAGAGAGTAGAAAGTGTACTGAGGTGTCTGATATGTAAAGAAAATACTCCTGCTCAATCAAGAGGAGCTAACCTGAAAGATGCAGAAAAATAATGTGATTTAATAATTTTGTGTCTAAGTAAAAATGAACAACAACAAAAAAGTGATAAAGAAATAATTTCTATATTCCAATAAAAATTGTGTTTGATAGTAAGTGGCTGTTTTCTGTACCTGACTATTCTTTTTATGCTGCCAGTTGGAAAAAACATAATTAAAATGTAAATGTAGTAAAATGAAATTGTACGTTGTCAAATGTGAAAATGGGTATTTACATATACTTATGATGTATTACATGAATATTTTTATATTTGTGTATTTCCCTTCTGAGGTAATTAACCAGAAATTAGTTGTTCATCAGGAGTCATTTAACCAATAATTTGAGATTTACCCATGACCTAGATAGAAATTTAAAAGAGGATCCTTATACCAGAAAATATGTGTTCTCTGGTTATAATATGCATTCCATCATTCAACTAGGAAAGAGCATTTTGTTCAGAGTATATATCTTCATTGAGATGTTAGATAGTGATGGTGTGAGAGTTTGTGTTAAAGTAGAATGGAATTTGACATCAGGTACCAGTAGCTTTCAGAATTTCATGACTGGCATAGGAAATGACCCTGCTATTTTTGAACATCCGTTTGGTGACCCATCCAGAAACCAAATAAACATTTCTGGTGGTGGCAGTAGGGGGGATATGTTGTCTTCTTTTTTTTCTAAATGTTTTATTGTGAATTATGTGATAGTTTACATGGGAGAACATCAGTTTTACATTGTATATTGTTTCATTGCTATGGTTACAATCCCCTCCATGCATCATCAACCAACCAAAGGGTATACACTACAAGCTTGCCTCTCAGTCGTCAGCACACAGTCCCTCTCCCTCTCTGTGTCTAAAGTTCCCAACTGCTGCATCTCTCCATGTCGTTGTCTCTGCCTCCATCTTAGGCATCACTGCTTCTCTGGGTAGGGTCTCGCTCTCCGCTCTTCTCCCTTGATGGTCCCATGGACCTCCGCTCCTAGGCTGAAAAGTTAATCACTCCCCTCCTTGCTACAAAACGACCTTTACATTTCCAACCCTTACAAGCAGCCATGATAACATTTATTCACTATTGTATCACAAGAGACCCATCTGCATTTCATTTCATCAGCTCCCCCCAGAGGGAGTGGATACTACTCAGTGGAGATTCTACCTTCCTTCACGCCCTCTGAGTCTAGGTTCCCTCTTGAAAGCTTGTAAGCCAGTCACTTCTTGCCTTTGTAGCCCCCCCATTTTGGGTAGCCAATGTCCAAGTTGCCTACTTTGTGTATGGAGGGGGTGGGAATGATCCTTGCTGTAAGGATTTGTTCTCTCTTTTGAGCTACTGTATCCATAGGTGTAGGTCAAGTTCATCAAATTGTATCAGATTACTCTTTTTTTCCCTCTTCTTTCTTCTTTTGGTTGAGCTTTGATCATCTAGTCATTGAAGCCAGGTCAAGTGGGTATTATCTGCAAGTGTGGGTGTTATTGTGCATATGCCCTCTCATCTTATCAGCTGGATGCTTCACTCTCCACTCTAGTTCTCTGTGGCTATGTCACTGACTCTAGGCCCAAGAGTCCTGAGGTCTTGCCACACTGCTGGCCAACCGGGTCTCCATCCAGGTTCACAGAAAGTCTATTGAACACTGTAGGGCTTAGCTCGCAGTTTCATTGCTGTTTTTCCGTTACTTCCCCTTATCAGTGACAAGCATGGTCACCAATCAGAGCGTTTATTCCCATTGAGTCTTAGTCTTGGAAGGGGGTTTACACTGAGGGGACCCAACCATTTGCCTTGATGTTTCCTGAGCAAGCAACTTGCTTGTTCTTGTAGCTAACAGTAGTTCTGCCTATGTTGTGTTGTATTTTTCCTATAGGTCTTTCTTTCATGAAGTATCTTCTCTTCTTCTAGCCGCTCCAGGCTGGGATATGTCTTCTTACCTAGTTCATCTTCTTGCTCCTCTTTGTCACAGCCCTGCTGTTGCTCCCTCTGTTGAGCGGAGGTATAGAGTAGCTAGGAAACCTGGCCTGTGAGGAGCTTCTTGTACACTGACTTGGGGAGAAAGACTATTTTTTACATGGCTTGCTAATAGTGAATTTGGGTGTGGAAAAATAAAGATTAAGAGCTGCTCATCCTTTAATCCTGATACAAATGGAGAGTTCAAGAAGGCATGGAAGCCTAGTAGAGATTGGATATGCTGGTCTCAGTCCCCCAAGTCTGGTACAACAGTTCTGAGTTAGCAGTCCCCTCCCCACCTGGAGTATCTGAGTGCTAGTTAAAGTTCTCTACCATTTCATGGATTCTCTACACCTGGAACAAGTATGAAGGGGCTCCAAAAAGTAGGTGGAAAAATTCCATTATCTTTCTATTCCATTTCCTGCAAACTTTTTCATATTACTTGAGCGATTTAAAGACAATTTTAGTTCTCTGAGAACATTTGTTGTTGTTAGCTGCCGTTGAGTTAGTCCCTGACTCATGGTGACTTCAGTACAACAGGATTGGACTGTTGTACTCTGTAGGGTTTTCATTGACTAATTTTCAAAAGTAGATGGCCAAGCCTTTCTTCCTAGTATGTCTTAGTCTGGAAACTTTGCTGAAACCTGTTCAGCATCATAGTAACAAACAAGCTTCCATTGACAGATGGGTGGGTGGTGACTTCATTTAAGGTGCTTTGGCTAGGAATTGAAACTAGGTCTTCCATATGGAAGGCTGGCATTCTTCCACTGGACTTCCTTTCCCCATTCTAAGAATATAACTCCCCTATATTCTTAGAATGTGAGGCTATTAATCATCTTTTAGCCCTTTGATTTTCCAGTTACATTTGTAGATCAGCATTGCATACAAAAGAAGCAAGTGCCTGGGTTTGTAATTGAGACAAAATGTAGTTGTGTTCTGGTAGACACTGGCAATCTAATCATCCCAGCTGCAAATTTGAAATGGAAATTACCATTTTGAGAAAAATATTGGCATTACTCTTTTAGAGGGGTTAGGGTGTTTAAACTTCCATTATTAAATATTATTTTTGTGGCTACTGAAGATTATAATATTTTTAGAAAATACTTAAGATGTGGAAGACCAAAATCTCTGAAATATTTGAAATATGTTAGTTATATAGTGAGTTGTAAGTTGTGATTCCATATATAATTTAAGGAGCCCTGGTGGCATAGTAGATTACACGTCTGGCTGCTGACCATAAGGTCAGCATTTTGAATCCACCCACCATTCCATGGGACAAATATGAGGCTTTCTGCTCCTTCAAAGATTGACAGCTTTGGAAACCCTATAAAGGGTTGCTTTGAGTGGGAACCGACTTGATGGCACACCATCACCACCGCCACCATATGTAATATAGATCTAAATCTATCACTAAGTGACTTTCATAGTGGAGTGGAGCTGTAGGACCTGCATTGGACTGCAAGATCAGTTTGAACTGCAAGGTTGGTGGTTCAAACTCACTAGCTATTCCTTGGAAATTGTATACCCTGTCGCTGTGAGTCAGGACTGACTCAACAGCACTTAACAACAACAACAGTTGTACCTAACCTTATTTAACATGTATTTTTCTGGTTGTTGATTTTCCGTTTGAATGACTGAGGAACAAGAGACCTGCATTTGGTGCACTTTTCTAATTTGTTATAGTTCCAGGTGCTGTTGATGGTGCAGAACCCAGTGTGTTTACTTTACTAGTGTGATATAGCTATAAAGCATTAGCTCCAGTTGGAGTTCATGGAAACAGTTTAAGTTGCTCCCTAGAATGAATGAAGATTACATTGGTAACAAAATCTTAAGATTTTTTTTAAAGCACTTGAAATTTTTTATTTAGCTTTGTTCATGGTATGTGATTTTTCTAAGAATACTCCCTTTTCCCACTAATGCTTTTCCTTTCTTTATATAATAGATCAACGACTACCATCTATTCTACAAGATGAGTAATAGCCACCCTCTTCGCCCCTTTACTGCAGTGGGGGAAATTGATCATGTGCACATTTTGTCTGAACATATCGGTGCCTTGTTGATTGGGGAAGAATATGGCGATGTCACGTTTGTTGTGGAAAAGAAACGTTTTCCAGCCCACAGGGTAATTTTAGCAGCCAGGTGCCAGTATTTTCGGTAAGTATATATATACTTTTTTTTTCAAGATTTAAGTCAATTGTAGAAAACAATAGCATTTTCTACTCTATGAATAATATTGTGTAATAACAAATCCTAGGAATCTTTCAATTCAGGATCTATTCAGATTTCATCGCTGTCGACTTTCTGAGGATCTTCTTTTCGTGCAAGAGCCATCTTAGAATTAGGGAGCTAAAAGGTTTCCCAGGCTAGAGTGTACCAATCAGCCATTTTTCAGAATTTCAATAATATTTGTCTGTCTGCATTTTTGTTGGCGTTACCTTCTCCTCATAGTTGGTCACAAATGGGCGTTAAACAGGTGTACTGGCAGATAGAATTCTTCCTGTACAGGTAGACTGACGTCCAGATTTACAGTAAACATGTGTCCCTCTTGGTTTCAAACTATTGAAATTCAGAACCTGTAGATAATCCAAAAGATTTCTCTAAAACAGGAAGTTTGGCAACCCCAAATTGAAGAAAACTTAGTATTGACTGAGATACTTTCATGGTTATTTCACAGCTTCAGACTAAACAAATGCTTATGTATTAATTGATATTAAAATTGTACACACACAAGGGTAAGCAAAAAAGTATTGCAACAAAATCATAGAAACCAATTTTATTAAGCAAAAATAAAAATATCAAAACGTGAAGCTATTTCTTCTCGACATATTCTCCATCTAGGTTTATACACTTCTAAAGGCACTGTTTTCCATCTCTTCTTCCTCTAATAATTTTGCACTCTTTGATATATACCACGTCAAAATAACAGCTTTGGCATCCTCAAGGGCCTCAAATCCTTTT